TTGACATATTTGGCCCACTAACTTGTTCATTGTTTCATTCAACATCTTTAGTTGTTTGGCCATATTGTCATAGTGTGCATTACCACTTTGTGTAAATCTTTCCATATTATGAATACTTCGAAGATTTACCTGTTCAACGACGTCTTGTGTGAGTTCTCCAAGCAATGCGCACATGGTCCGAGGACTCAGCTCCGTCATTGGTTCGTAACGACTGTTACTGCTCTGATTTTGTCCATCTGTTCGTGGAGAGGCATGCTGCTCCTCATATCGCTCGATTACAGACTGGATTCCTCCTTGACTTGCTCCATCCTTGTCGGATCTCTGAAGCATATTGTTTCACCTTTTGTACTTTCAACACCTAACACCACTTGTCCCACTGGGCGTGCCAAATTGTTTCGCGCGGGTTAACTCGCTAACAATTAAAGGGGATCAGACGATTGTGTAAGGGACGAAACCTCTTGAGACAAAGTCCCAAAAAGGGGTGTTCTTTTATTGGTGATGAACTTTACAATTGGAAACGAAAAAACAACGTGCCTCCAAGGGGCGCAAGCACACGAGTTACAGAAGGGAAAGTGTTTAAGTCTAAAAGCTAAAGAAATGAAAATTACATATTCTCTTGTTCGAGAGTTTTGGATTCGGTCCTTTGCTTCTACGCCTTTTCTCCCTTTTATACCTCATAGACGATCTCTTTGTGATTAACTACTCTGAAAACTGCTTGATCGTCCTATAACTACCCACTTTCTTTGTAGTGGCCATTTTGTCATGAAACCGCCTTTTAACTGCTGTCATTATCTTTCATCGTCCAACTGCCTTCGATTGACTTCCTTGAGTTGTGGAACGTGATAAGGCTGCTTTAACAACTGCCTTGATAACTGCATTCCTTGATAATTACGATGCGTTATGTTTGTTGACACCTTAGGCGACTTGAAGGTTTGGGCGAGAGTAGAATAACAGCTCTGGGCGATCGTATGACACCCGTTCGTTCAAATTCTGAGCGACTTGCAAACTTGGGCGATGGCATTACCGCATTCTTGGGCCTCTTGTTTGGGCCTTCACCTTGACTCGTTTGATTGAACTTCATTCTTTGGGCCGTCTGTTTTGGGGATTCTCCAATTGGGCTTTACTCCTTGGGCTGTTCGACTTGGGCTGAATTTTTATGTGTCAACAGTCTCATTCCCTTAGAATGATTTTCATTGAAGTTTTACTTCGAGAGTGGCTATTCATCCATTTTTTCTGGAATTTGAAGTTTATAGCCTCTTCTAAGTTTAACGTCTCATGTTCTTCAGGTGCAACTTGATGATAATAAGAAGTTTCCATCTCATGGAAGAAAAGAAACCATTAGACAATTCTATGGTACGAGAATTATCATCCATTTTATTTTGAATAAGTGATTTGCTATGTTCCCGAGATGGAGAGTCACGCTAATTTCGTAGGGAAAAAGTTACGAAAATGTCCCTAAGAAAATTTTAGCTATCTTGAAAGCACAAATATATTTTTTATCCTGAGAATTTATTTTTCATAAGAAAAGTGTATCCACTTTGGTTAGGACATAATACCATAAAAAACTTGTGTTTTTTGAATTTTTCCTAATTGTTCTTTTGATGCTTTCCATAATTTATTTGGAACCTTTGAAATCATTCAATCTGCACTTCGTGGCAGTTTTGTGCAAACCACATGTTTTGGCTGTGCCAATTAAAAGTTCCTCCTTCTTTTTCTTTTTTTTTCCCCCGAAAAGTAAGTTTATTAGTAAAAAGAGTAACTATATAAATCACGTTTGCCAAAACAAGTAACTTAATATTAGGATTGGCTTAGTTCTAAGCACAGCCGAACATGCTCTTAGCTAAGCGAAAAATGATTTTGCTCACATAACCTAATTCATTGAAATCACTAGACATTAATTTCGTGCATATCGTTAAGTTGATATGAAATGCATTTTTACCATCTCTTGAGCACCTATAAGATAGCTTAGCACATATGATGACGAAGATTATGTTGGGAATCTACTTATACATGCACAGCGGAAAATTAAATTATTTCGATTCCCATCCAATAGATCTCATTGTGTTTGGTTAGGAATTGTGATAAGATTGTACCTTTTTCAGATTTGCAATCCTTTTGCTTTTCTTTTCGTTCCACAACTTTGATTCGCCACCACAGCTGTCCAATTGTCCAGCCTCCAACGGTGATCCACACAGAGAAAATGATTGCAGCCTCTAGGGTTTTCTCTTGTGCTAGCAAGAATAATGAAAACCTTAATGGACCTCAAACCCTAGTTATGTATTTATATAAACCCAAACAGGCTCGGCCCGGTCCGGTCCAATAATTAATTAATCCAATTAATTAAACCCGGTCCGTGAATTAATTAATCCAATTAATTAATTCGAAAATATAAATAACAAATCCAATTAATTAATTTATCCAACGATTGTTAAATTAATCAATTTGCAATTTGCAATTTGCAATCTTCCAATTCTCTTTTGTGTGTGACCCATTAGGTTCCCGACCACGATGCCTAACGACGTGAAATATTATTTTGATCTAATCAAAATTGATAAATTAAAACACCCTTTTAATTTATCGTCAATTCACATTCGCCGTCCCTGATTGACATCTAGCAATGTGTCAGGGCAATACAT